TAATGTGGCATCTTCTAGGCTTTCAGGGCTCAGGCAGGAAACACAGAAGCTGCAAAGACAGACATATCTTAGCATTTAACACTTGAAGACTCTTCTGTGGCAAATGATTTGAAAGACAGATTTGAAACACAAGGGGAGACAGAAGACTGATTTCTGAAACACACAAAGAATCTAACTGATTAGCGGAGAGCCAACAGCCCAACAGAAAAATGGGCAAAGGAAACAAAGGGGATCGTTCATGGAGAGAAATCCACCGGACAGCTGTACAAAAAGCCGTAACTTGCTAGAGTGAAAGAGCTATGAATTAAAGCGACCACCCCAAATCGCTTTATTTATAGGTTGGCAATGGTTAAAAGACAGTAACATTTGCTCCAGATAGAAACTAGAGATATACGTGATGGCTATGTGATTTGTTAGTCTTTTGGTAATGTGAACCGATAACATTTTCTGAAGTTAAACACACCTTCTTTCATCTAGCTAGGATTCTGTTCCCTAGAAGCAAGCACCAACATAAAAGGATACAGGTGCAAGGATGTTTCTGGAGGCAGCAGTAACATTTGGGGACAAAATAAACACTCATTTGGAAGGAAAATGTAATTTAAACAACCATTAATAAGAATGAATTAGAGTTCTGCTATTTAACTTGGAAGATTTCTGAGAACTATTGAGAGGAAAAAATAACATGTAGAAACATGTGAGGAGGGTGCTCCTATTTATATATATAAAAACCCCTACATATGTACATGCAAATAGAGCAAAACATACAAGAAAGAAAGATGATCTGGTAGTGGGAGAAGCTGGGAAAGAAGGGGAGGCAGCAGCCAAGGCAAAGGGAAAAGACCAAGATCTCACTGGGGTGGGGCAACCCAAGCGACAAAACACTACCAATACATGTGGAATTGTTTGGTGTACACATCCAAATTTCTGAGCCTCTCCGAGCTGCCCAGTCTGGGTCTTTAAGCATCTTCTGCTTCACAGAGACCAGCGAACAGCACTGCTTCATGGTACACCCCTTCCCCTCTGCCTAGTGTCCTCCAAAGCCAGTGTGAAGATAACAGCGATGAAGAGAGGGTGGAGGACAGAGGGCTCAGTGGCCTGGGGGCAACGAGAGGGGAGCAAGAGAGGCTCACCAAAACTACTAACGCTTGGGCTTGAAAAGGTTTCAGAAGCTTCTGGAAGTAGTAACGTGTTTTATCAGCTGACTTCTCATTTTCTGTTGGACTCTACACATTGCTTATGCCTGTGTGCTCTCCCCTGTACAGACCATTTTTCCTACCCCAGGTTACGAAACCAATCTCATCACACGACTGTGGCAACTGGATTCCAAAGATGGGGCCTGATAATCCACTTAGTTAGCTCATACTGTTTTTCAAGGGGCAGATGAACCTTCTTTCCCCTCCCTTGAGTCTGAACTTGAGTATTCATTCACTAGGTTGCTGTAGCAAAATATCACCGGCTGGGAGGACATAGCCACAACAACCTGCTAAGCCACAACAACCTACTTTCTCACTGAAAGTCCCACATCAAGTCCGGCAACGTGGCCCTTTGCTCTGTGGGACAGCTGTGCTGCCATGTAAAGTGTCCATCCATCCTGCTGGAGAGATCACAGGTTACTAAGTGGAGAGGCACAGCTCAGAGGGAGAAGTCTTGACATGAGGTGGAAAAGAGCTCACAGTTTCCCATTATCTGCTTCCTTTCCCATGCCTGTAACCCCTGCATCGGGAGGCTGAGGTAGGAGGAACGCCATGAGTTCAAGGCCAGCTTGGATTATACAGCAAGACCCTATCCAAGAAACAAACAAAGACAGCTCTTGCACACATCTTCATCACAAATTCCTAGGCACCCTTGAGCCAAAGGCACCTGGCTGAGCCATACCCCCGATTCCTCACCACAGAAACTGTGAGATAATAACTGCTTATTGTCTTTAGTCACTAGATTGTAGGGGTACTTAGTTATGCAGCAATAGAGAATGAGCTGCTTCTGAAGAAGGACATCCAGGTGAGGTTAAAAGCAAGTGCAAAGGGCCTAGGGCAGAAATGTGTGGAGGTACTTCAGGAAGGCGAAGGTGGCTGTGTGAAAGGAGCAGAGTGGTCAAGGGCCAGAGAGATGCGCAGAGGCGGACTTTTCATCCACCTCTAAGGGTCTGAGAGTAAGAACTGCTGAGAAGTCACTACTGCTGCCTTACATACTTTCTCATAGGGTACCCTACAATGCACATTAAGTCATAAATTATTAAAAGTCCCTTTTGTTTCTCTGTGATACCTGCTTCTTAAACCACAGGCTGAATTTCAGGTAATATAATTTCACTCTCTGCACTCACATGATCTGGTTTGGGAAATGAGAGAAAAAGGGACAAAGGATAAAACAGGCACCTACTGAGGTCCTCTTAAGACCAAATAACCCAGAAGGTCTGTGCAGGATGAAACTCTAGACTCATGAAGAGAAGGCCAGGTTAGGATTAGGAGGTATAATTGTAACTGGCAATGCAAAATGGAACTTTGGGTTCCCTCAGCCCTTCAAAAGAAGTGACAAAATATGCAGATGCTCCAGGAGGCAGGAGCTGAGGCTCCTTTGTAAAGAAAGAGGAATAAATCAAAGTTGGCCAGATGTGGTAAAGCAAGCATGAAGATCTGCACTGTCTCTCTGTGCTCCTGTCCCCTCTTTCATTACTATAAAGGACCCTTACCCCTGGTACACAATGAGAGGGTAATTTGAGGCAAATGGGCCCTTCATCTCCTTGGAGCTAGCTTTGAACATATCATTTTCCTTCTGATCCGAATACGTGGCCTCTGTTGCTTTAGCCAGTAACATAACTACTAGTGGATTTTGGACCCTAGGACAAGGTAGGCAAAGGGGACCTGGAGAAAACAGCATAAAGTGAAACATTACCTGCTTTCTTCTCTCTGTTATAAACAGACACACAGCATTTGCAGGTACACATCAGGGAAACTTAGGCCTGGGATGATGACATAAACCAAAATTTTGGTGATCCAATCTCTTATGTTAATCCTAAATGCTTAAGAATTATACCATAGGTATCTTTTAAGGAACGTTAGAAGGAGAGTAAGAAAGTAATCAAACATGTTTGGCAGTCATAAAAATACTGCCCTAGGTCTTTGTTATCTAGGTTGATTGCTTCCTGTACAATTCTAGGAAAACAAATATTCATGAAAATTTTTTAATGTGAAACCAAAACATGGACTATATTTAATACACTTTTAGTGAAATGAACTCACTGCCCCTACAATCTGCCTGGCTTCATGAACAACATTTTAATTTTCTATCTCTAATAATACAAACATCTCTCTGAAGACTGAATATATTAACACCAGATTAACTGAAAGAAATCACCTAGTTACACGGTAACACTTTATTGTTACATTATTAGACCCCCTAACCCTGGCTAGTTATAGTACATACAAGTGTGCTTCTACAACTTGTACAAGTACTGTTCTGCTAGAGAATGTGCAAACCCACTGTGGGCTGAAACAGTGGCCCCTAAGAACAGAATCAAATAGGTAATGGTCATTAAAGATATCTATTCATGTTGCAAAGACTTAAGAGCTTTAAAGGTATTAAGTCTTAGTTGAATCTTAAAAAAAAAAACTAAAATAAGGTGTAAATAAACACTGTAGAAGCAGCAATACTAAATCATTCTTTCAGAGTGCTTGGTGCAAAGGATGAAGAAAACTCAGCAAGGTTAATCTTCTCAAAATAGTCTATACTGTATGACCACTAGTATGAAATGGAATCAGAGAGCTCATCCAATTCCATCAAATATAAACTGATAATAACTTCAGTTTTAGGAATTTGGCATGGCACGTTGATTTTCAGTTTAGAAAGTAATCCTATTCAAAAGATAACATGCTTTCAAGAACGAAGCTGGCAACATCACATCAAATAAGTACCGAACAAAGTTTCTGAAGGGAATTAAATTGGCTCTACTCAGAGGACAGTAGAAGACACATCTATTTTTAGCCTTTCACAAAACCTCAGTTGCATAAATAAGGAAGCATTTGGTCTCCATAAATCCATTATACAATGGTTGTTGATCAAGATAAATGTAAGCAGCATATCTCTTCCAGAAAAGTTCTCAAATGAACTTGATCACTCTAGTCTGACCCACAAATTTTGGTAAAGGGTGGAAGGACAGCTAGGGAAGGTTGTCCCTCCTTGTGGGCAGAGGCAGTAACTCTCCTTCCTCAGTACCCCTTCCCTCACTACCTCTTGCCTAAATTGGGGGAGCTCCATGCACTTGGAACCAAGAGAATAGGTTTCATTACTAATTCTGTGCTTTTTCTTTTCCTGTGCAACCACAGAGGAATCAGGTCCCGAGAAACTTTTTTTCCCCTTCTCTGAGAGATGCAATGGACTTTGGCATCACTGTACCAAGGTGAGGGAATGAAGGTGCAAGAGAGGAGGAAGGACTTGCCCAAACGCTCAGCCCGTGATAAAACTAGAATTCAAACTAGGGCCCGTGCAGACGCCCTCAATAACCACCCAGTTTTCTCGAGAGTAAATGAACGAACCACAACACCCACCCATCACTGCTCCCAGAAACTCGCAAGGATCAGATGCGGGTGACTTCGACTAGGTGGATGTGAAGAGCCAGGCGGCGGCCGGGCGTCCCAAGAGGCCCTAAATCCTTCATCCCGGGTCCTCCATTCAGACACGCGTGAACGGCAGGTCGCCCCTCGGCAGGCGCAGCCCGCTGGGCTCTCGGGAGGGAACCGGGGCGCGATGGAGGGGCACCCGCGCCCTCAACTCACCTGACAGCGGGGCCGCGTCAGCGGCGCACGCGCAGGGCCGACGGTAGCACGCGGGGTCCGCACGCCGGTCCCACCCTGCTCTGTCTAGGGAGCCCCTTCAGTCCCCCGCCCCAGATCTGGAGCTGGCCGGAGCCGGCTTCCGCCTCGCCTCCCAGCCGTCACGTGACCGAAGAGGGCGCTGCAGGGCGGGGCGTCATGTGACCTCTCGCGGCGACGGCTGATGACGCAAGAACCTGAGGTGGCTGTGGCGCCTCCGACTCCTGGGCTGAGGAGAGGCGTGGGGATCTTGGCGAGCAGAGTCAGGGTGCGCCGGGCGGGATAGGCCGGGCGTCCAGGTAAGGCGGGAGTGGGAGGTGGTGCTGGGGGGCGTGGCGGGGGGCTGCCTCCCTCTGAGTCGCTCTGCGGGGAAGCTGAGCCGAAGGTCTGTCGACCCGGGCAATGGTCCTAGCCCTTTTCACCCCACGTCTGTGAAGCGGGGCAGTTCATTCCGCTCAACGAGACGCCCTCTCTCCATCCTTCAGTCCTAGAATAAAAAGTGAATCTGATTTCAGTTGGCTGTAGGAACTGGGACATGGCAGGTCGTTCAAATACTCTCAGGGCCTCCGTTTCCCTTTCACTTGTGTAGACCGACATGAGGATCTGTGCCAATGAGAACAAAACCTTCTAGGGTGGAGGAGTGGCGCATGTGAGCAACAGTTGTGATGGTTTTAGAAATCGTGTGTGCGTGTGTGTGTTAGGGATAATGGTGGCATGACGGAAGGAACAAGCGTGAACAAGTGAAGGTTTCAGAGAGAAGGATGTATCCTGGCTTGTGGAAAAAGGAGATACAGTTCTAGCTGAATTTACATAAGCTTACTATGGATTTTAAGGAGGTCAGCATATTGTCTGTTAGGTGTTTATTGTGTGCCTGCCATGCTGCTATACAGAAGCACAAGAAGATGCCACGGTAGGGAAGTATTTTTATATTTTCACTGATAATTAGCTCTGTCGACAGAGACTCTTACAGGCTTGTCAGGGAAGGCAAAGTAGCATGCTAGGGAAGAACTCAGGAAATGTGTGACTTTGTGGTGACTAACTTGGAGACTACAGGTACAGAAAGCAAAGATCAGTGTTACCTGGGGAAGGATTCAACATGAGGTTGATTTCAATCAGTGTTTCTCAATTAATGCATTGTTGACTTGTTGATCTGGATAATCTTTTTGTAGTTGGGGCAGTTCTGTGCATTGTAGGCTATTTAATAGCATCCCTGGCCTCTGCCACCTGGAAGCTAGTAGGTACTCCCCCTCCAATCCCATGCAAAAATGTCTCCAGATGTCGTTAAATAACCCTTGGGGATGGGGTAAAATCTCCCCAATTGAGAGTCATTAACTTTAAGCCATGAAGGAAAGGTCTTCATGTGTTTGGATGGTTATAACGAAATATTGTAATCTGGATAGCTTATAAACTATAGACATTTGTTTCTCATAATTTTGGAGGCTATGAAGTTCAAGATCAAGGTGCCAACAGATTTGGTGTCTAGTGAAGGCCTATATTCTGATTCACAGATGCAGTCTTATTGCTGTGTCTTCACATGGTGGGTGGGTGTGGTGGTTTAACTAATGGTCAGCTTGTAACACCCAGATGAACTGAGTGCTGAGTGTGAATGGCCCTCCTGAGGATTGTTGACAACAGCATAAAAGCAGAACTGGAAAGGAAGATGATATGCGGTTGATTCTCCTGAAGAAGCTTGTCATGCTGGTTTTCCTGATATGAACTCAGCTCTTCTTGTCATTGTTGGAACTCCGGTCCTCCTTGTTGCTGAGGATAGCTGTGATTCTCTTTGGGGGAGCTCTGGTCCTTACTTTGCCACTTTCTGATTCCAGTGCAGATCCCTCTGCCTAGTGGCACAGATCCTTCATCCCTCTGGCACAGACTTCCTAGCTTCTGCTACTGGTCCTTGGGCCTTCCCAGTGCAGGTCCTTGATGCAAATTTGCATGAGACATTGTTGTGGGCTCTAGGCCTCCAGCTGGACATGTAGAGGACATTTCCTTGGGCTCTAGGTCTTCAGCCAGACTTGTGCAGGACATTGGTATGGGATCCAGGCCCTCAGCTGGATTCCTTGGGTCTCTAGTGCATCAGATCTTTTGAATTCTTCTGCTTTTGACTCTTTGGGTGAATATTATAAAATAATCCTATAAATTATGTGTCCTGTATTAAATCTATTCCCCTGTAAACCCTGACTACGTCAATAGGCAAGGCAGCTGTCTGGAGTAACCCTTATAAAAGTACACTAATCCCATTCAAGAAGGTGGATTTCATCACCTTCCTAATACCGACACCTTTGATTTTGGGTTTCACCATACAAACTTGAGGAAGAGGGGCACAAATGTGCAGACCTTAGCAGTTGGGTAAGATTTGGATAGATGGAGAAGCGAAGGTATTCTTATGGTGGGCGTAGGGTGAATAAATTCTTGAATCAACACTGTAAATTGCATTTGAAGGAAAGATGCAAGTATTGAGATCTGGGTCTTACTGAGACAGAATTGGTTTGTTTTGAAGCACTGGGAACATCATGCAAGATAGCAGTGGTTAACAAACTTCAGTGACTATCAAATAGTAAAGTCATCTCAAAGAAGGTCTGTCAGAGAAAAAAGGGGCTGCCTTTGACATAAGCATACAGCTGTACCTAATGGAAGGAACTGAGAAAAGTGTCTTTACTATTCTCTTTTTTAACCAGTGAAATACTCCAGAATTATAAAAGGACAATTTTTCCCTTGGCTCTCTATAAGCATAAAGTTTTATAAGAGTAAGGGGAAAGACTTGTAGTGGATTGACGACTGATGGTCGACTTATAACCCCCAGCTGAACTGAGTCAGCATGGTGCTGGGTGTGGGAGGCCCACCTGGGGATTATTGTCAGCAGCATAAGAGGCAACCTGGAGAAGAAGAAGTGAGGCTGTTGGGAGTGGAGAAAGGCTGTTGGGAGCTGGTGGAAGCTGTAAGGAGCTGTTGGTTGTTTTGGAAGAGCTTGTCATGTTGGCTTTCCTGATGAACTCGGCTGTTTTCATCCTCTGAGGAGCTCGGGGACTGTGTTGGCACTGAGAATGGCTTTGGTTCACTTTCGGAAAGCTCTGGTCCTCACTTTGAGCATCGCTTCCTGGCTCCAGAGGGGAAGATGGTGCACTGCCAGTCTCCTGGAGAAGCTTGCTGCGATGGCTTCCCTCATAGGAACTCAGCCATCTTGGTCATCAGAGGAGCTCGGGACCTCACTGTTGCTGAGGATGGCCGTGGTACCTTTTGGGGGAGCCCTGGTTCTTCTAAGTGTTGCTTCCTGTCTCCAGTGCAGATCCCTCAGCCTGCTAGCACAGATCCTTCATCCTGCTGGCACAGACTTCCTAGATTCCACCACTGACATTTGGGCCTTTGCAGCGCAGATCCGTAAAACAGGCCTGCATAAGGTATTGTTATGGACTCTGGACCTCCAGGTGGACTCATGGGAGGCATTGTTGTGGGCTCTAGGCCTTCAGCTGGACTCATACAGGACATTTCCGTGGGATCCAGGCCCTCAGCTGTATTCCTTGATCTCAGTGTGTGGACAGATTTCCTGCACTCTCATGTATATCATTCTTTGGGTGACTATTATAAATAATCTTATAAAATATGTGTCCTGTATTTATATTGTTCTCCTTGCAATATCCCCCAATCCAACGCAGTCTTAATCACTTTCTTGTCACTGGGACAAAATACCCAACATCCAGAACTTAAAGGAGGAAAGGTTTGTTTTTGGCTCATGGTTTTTAGAGAATTCAGTCCACAGTGTTGACTCTCAGTCATAGTTTTGACTCCAAGGCAAAAACTGCAAGATGGAAGGGTCTGGCAGAGGAAAGCACTCATGTCATGGTGGCCAGGAAGCAAGGAAAGTGAAGGGACGAATTGGGAAAGTAGATACACCTTTCTAGGTCATGCCTCTGGTGACCCACCTCTCATCAGGCCCCACCTCCTAATAGCAAGTCATATATTGTCCTCATAATATAATCATCTCTGAACACTAGCCTTTTGGAGGATATTTATTCAAACAAATAGTAAGGATAGCTGCTCTGTGGTACGTACTTCCTGTTTGTCTTGTTTTGTGCTAATCCTGATATATATTGTTTTGGTTCAGGCAATTACAAAAAAATGCAATTGACAAGTGGCTTAAATAAAGAAATTTATTTCTCATAGTTCTTCAAGCTTCGAACTTAAGACCAGGGTGCCAGAGATGATTAAGTTCTGGTGGAGACTTTCTTCTTGGCTTGCAGATGGCCATTTTTTTGCTGAGTCTTCACATGGTGGAAAGAGTGCTGGTGTCTCTTCTTACAAGGCTGCTATGCCATCATGTAGCCCTAATTTTCTCTGAAGGCCGCATGTTTAATTCTTGTTATGTTTGAGATAGGATTTCATCATAAGAATTTGGCAGTGGTGTGTTTGTGTGAGAGGGTGACACTGTCATCTTGGCAGTCTCCGTACTTGTCTGGTTCTAAGAATCAGAAGACATGCCTCATGAAAATATAGTTCTTGCTGACTCTCTAATAGGGACCCTTATTCAGGTCTGAGATAGTGCCCAAAAGTATGTATTTTTAGTGTTTCAAGTCATTAAGATCAGACAAATTTGAGAAAACTACAAAATTTAATTTATTCTTACAAAATGCTGTGAAATAGGAAATACGTTTTTTTTTTTTTTTTTTTTAAAACAGGAACAGACTAAAGAACGAGGAGTTAAACATATGCAATTTCAAAGTGTAATGGTCTGGATGGAATTGCTTAGGGATCTGTGTGCAGACTGTTTTCTTAAGCACTATCCTGTATTGCTGTACATAGTGTGGCAATGCTGAGGATGATAATATTTGCTCTCACTTAAAAATTTATATACTGAGTTTGATCTTAAGTGTGATTTTTTGTTTTTGTTTTTTAGTATGTATTAACTCATTCTTTAAAGCAGTCCTTTAGTAGGCACTTGTCTTAGTCTGAAAATGCCCAGGACAGGGACCTTTATAAAGAACAGAGGTTTATTTACTTGTAGTCTAGCAGTTTATGTGCATGAGGCTGACATCTGCTTGGCTCTTTTTTTTTTTTTTTTTCCTGGTACCGGGAATCAAACTCACGACCTCGTGCTTTCCAGGCAAGTGCTGTGCCGCTGAGCTAAATCCCCAGCCTCCCTGCTTGGCTCTTGCAAGGACGTCATGGCCAATGACATCACAAGGGCGGAAGTGCATGCAGAAAAAGGATTCAGGGGAGATGCTGGGCTCCCTTATAACAACCCATTCTCAGAATCTAGTTTGGTTCTGTGAGAATTGCATTAATTTCCTCCAAAGCTCATGCATCCCAAGACCTCTCAGTAGGCCTTGGCTCTTAAAGTGTTTTCCAACATCACTGCATTAGGGACCGAGCTTCCAACATGTGAGCCCTTGGGGGACACACTCAAACCGTATGCAGGAGGCACCTGTTTTACAAAAGAAGAAGAAAGGGAAATATGGAGAGGTTATGTAATCTGCCTCAAGTCATTTGGTCACTAAGTGACAAAACCAGGCTTTGAACACAGGTAGTGTGGCTCCAAAGGCTGCATCTTTACTCTTTAGTCTCTTTTGCCTCTAAATTCTACTCTGTCATGGAGCCAGTGTTTATTTTAATATAGCCATGTTTTAGGGGCTGGGGATTTAGCTCAGCGGCAAAAGCGCCTGCCTGGCAAGCGCAAGGTCGTGAGTTCGGTTCCCGGTACGGGAGAAAAACCAAAAAAAAAAAAAATATATATAGCCATGTTTTGTATTGTCTTTAAGTAAAATTGATATTCCAGGAACATATGCTTTGTCTGTGGCTTTGTCGCTTGTTATTTATCTCCTGGCTTATATACATAAAACACACTTCCATAATTGTGCTTCTAGACAATGCTCTCTGATGCCCAATAGTCATGTGTGGTTATTTAAATTAATTAAAATTAAACAAAATTTAGAACTTTAGTCCTCATTGACACTAGCCACATTTTAGATAATCACTAGGCACATGTACCTAGTGACTACCATATTGGACGGTGCAGATTATGGAACATTTTTATCATCATGGAATGTTCTATTAGACAACACTGCTGTAGGCAACTAAGACTTACACTAGAATCAGGACTGACTAGAAAACAATATTTGAACCATATCATTGTAGTCCTTTTTGCAGAATTGTACTTTAGAGTTTGGTACTATAACAGGTAAACCCCCAATGTAAATGGCTCTGCATAGTTGAAGTTTATTTCTTTCTTTCTTTTTTTTTGTTTTGTTTTTCTTCTGATACTAGCAATCGAACTCACAACCTTGTGCTTGCCAGGCAGGCGCTTTGCCGCTGAGCTAAATCCCCAGCCCCAGTATTCTTTTTCATATACGTGATTTTCCCTTTATTTTCTGGTTTGTGACTCTGGTTTTCATGAATTTATATTCTTACATCTTATCAGATATGTTTGTATTTATATTGTGTTTATATGACTCAACTTGTTTGGTGTGTAATAAAGAGAAATTGTAAGTAAGTACTCTTTTACTAAAATGCACATTTAAAAATTAATTTATATTCATGTTTTCTTTTTTGGTGTGAATTTTAAAATCTCAGAAAGTAACATAACAAGAACCCTTGTTTTGTCACCCAGTTTTTAATGTCTGTACCATTTTTGCCATACCTGCTTCAGGTCTTGACCTTTAAGGTAAAGTTTCAGAAAATACATAAAGCTAAAAGTCCCATTTGATGGCCTTCAGGCCTAAGTGGGCTGATTCTTTATTGTGTGCTTAAGCTCCCTTGCAGTTCCTCTCAAATAGGGCTAGCATGTCCTTTTTATTGTCTACCTTGGTTACTAGCATCCTGATCTCTTGTTAGCAAGTGCAGAGATCCTGGGCTATTATTAGAGGATTAGCAGTGGCCAGATAAGATGGAACATTCGTTTTCAAAGTGTGATTTTTGGATCAGCAGCATCTCATTACTTGGAAATTTGCTGGAAATGGAGATTCTTTTTTTTTTTGGTCTTTTTGAGGCAGGGTCTCACTATGCAGTTCAGGCTGGCCTTGAGCTCACTTTGTAGCTCAGGCTGGTCTCGAACTCACAACGATCCTCCTGCCTCAGCCTCCCGAGTGCTGGGATTACAGGTGTGCACCACCACGCCTAGCTTGGAAATGGAGATTCTTAGAGCCCCTCCAAGATCAGAAATTCTGAGATAAGGCCCAACCATCAGTGTCTAACAGGCCTACCAGATATTCTCATACAGTAACACTATAATTTGGATATGTCAGAATTAGAATTAAATGGAGCACTTGTTAAAACACAGATTGTTTGAGGACTGAGAATTTGTATTTCTAACAAGGTTGAGGTTTTAGTGATGCTGCTTGGTCAGGGCCCATAGGGAACCAGTATTTTTTGGTTGCTGCACAGTCTCTTTGGCCTTTGTTCTTAATCAGGAACTCAGCAAAGACTTTCGAGCAGGGAAGTGACATGATCTTATGTACATTTTCAAAGGTGCACTCTGGCTACTGTATTGAACATTGAGCAGAAGAGGCAAGGTTGGGAGCAGGGAGACAAAGTAGGAGGTTGATGGAGTAATTCAGCAGGTAAGAGCTGCTGACACATCAAGGTGGTAGTGATAGAATTGGTTGCGGTGATTGAATGCTGGAGATACTTTGCAGAGCTGACAAAATTTGTGGTGGGTTTGAATTAGGATAGAGAGAAAAGTCAAGTATAAACCAAGATTTTTGGTTTAGGAAATAGAAGGTTGGAATTACTGTTTGGTAAGATGGAACAGGCTGCAAAAGGAATAGGTTGGAACGTAGCTAAGGAAGAGGAGAGGGAGGTGTTTGATGTTATGTTTTCTTGATAGTACTTAAATAGAATAGGGTTGGCCAGGAGCCTGGGGTGGAGTCCCAGGCAGGTGGGAGAGGATGGAGAGGAGAGACGATCAAATCACTGATACCTGAGTACAATAGTTTTAGAAGTTGGAGGGAGACATGCACTGTCTAGGTGCTGGAGGTGTACATGTGGTATTTCACTCATTTGTTCTTTCAGCAAGCCGTTATTGAATGACTGCTGTGTACTGCATGTTGTTTTAGGTGCTGAGAATATAGTAGTGAACAGAAGAGAGAAAGTCTTTGTCCCTTCACAACTTATAGTCTAGCTGGTGAGAAGAGACAATAAACACGATTAATAAATCAGTGAATGTTGTCAGGTAGTACAGTGCCTCCTGTGAAGAAAGGTGAAGCAGAGGAAGAGGGTAAGAATGCTGAGCAGTGGAGATTGACAGGGTGTGTTTTAGTTACTTTTCTGTCCCTGGCACACAGTACCTGACACACACAGTTTAAATGAGGAGAGGCTTAATTTAGATGATGGTTTCAGGAGACTTATTACATGGCCAGCAGGCTCCAAGGCAGGACTGTCACAATGGAAAGGTGGTGGAGCAAAGCTGCTTAATATGTCGTGGCTGTGAAACAAAGCAGAAGAACAGCGCCAGAGAAGAAGGGGCCGGGGATCAGACACAGACCCCAAAGGTCACACTTCCATGACCTGTCCAAACACACCCAGAATTGTGCTCTACCAGTCCCCTGGTAGATCCCAGAGCCATTCAGGTTGACACGCCTCCTACCACTCAGATCCATGGAAGGCCTCACTGGGGTGGTGACATTTGAAGGGAGATGTCGGCCATGCAGATGACTGGAGGAAAAGTATGCTGGCAGAAATAACAGAAATAGCCCTGAGGCAGGGCTGTACTTGATTTGGGTATAGGTGGAGAAGAAAGAGAGGTCTGGGTTTTGAATTGTGCCACCCTTCTAACATAGGGAGCTGGAGGAGGTAGAGAAGAAGTGGCAGAGAATCAGAGACATCGAGTGAGATAGACAGGTACAGAAAGTACACCAGGACAGAGGGAGAGGTAAACTGTCAAAGGCTGCTGATAAATAGATCAAAGGAGGTAAAGACTACATGCAGTCAAGTGGTAGTGAGACAGAAAGAGAGCACCTTGCAACCCCCTCCCTAGTCTTCCAGCCTACTTGCTTCTGTCCCAGTTTCCTGTAACCACAACCAAGTACTGTACCCTGAGCCCTGCCCCACAGATGTTTTGCTCTTACCTTGTCCTACATGATAATTTCAGTATTCCAACTACTTCTGCTTCTGTAAAATTCTGCTCAGTCTGCCCTGAGCCCCACCCAACTGAAACAAAGGTATAAAACTCCTGCTTCCCCAAAGCTCAGGGCTCAGAATTTAGAGTACTTAACTCCTTTGGGACAGCCGGCTTAAGCTTGGTACCCTCTACTTCTCTAGAGTGCTGCTCATGTTTCCCATGCCACTTCAACTTCGCTGTAACAGTAGGGATGGAAGCCTAGTAGGCCTTGGTTTCAGAGAGAATAGAGGATTTGAAGAGAAATTAGTGGAGGGGTTTTACTGTGAAGGTGAGCACAGAAATGGGAATGGTAAGCAGAGGGGATGATGGGGTGGTATTTTCTTCAAAGTCAAGGAATCTTCTGGAGGAGGGTATTCTTCTTCCTTTAAAAAATGAAGACAAGGGCTGGGGATTTAGCTCAGCGGCAAAAGCGCCTGACTGGCAAGCGCAAGGTCGTGAGTTCGGTTCCCGGTACCGGAGAAAAACCAAAAAAAAAAAAAAAAAAAAAAAAAATGAAGACAGTTACCTTTTCCATATACTGTATCTGTGTTTGGTGGCCCAGATTGTGGTACAATGCAGTGGTCTCCTCTCAAGGGATACCAAATGCAGATGGTAGTGTGACTGACGCTTGAGTATTGCATACATTCATATGAACATTGATAACTGTGATACTTTCATATGCAATTTTTATTCTGACATACAACTCTTGTTATTGTGTTTGAAAATTTAGGTAATAATTTCAAGATGCCAGGACGTTCCAGTACAAATTCAGGTTCAACTGGTTTCATATCGTTCAGTGGTGTAGAGTCTGCTCTGTCCTCCTTAAAAAACTTCCAGTCCTGTATCGACTCTGGAATGGACACAGTTTCTAGTGTGGCCTTTGATCTTGTGGAGACTCAGAGTAAGTACAGTAATACTTAAAATTCATTTCTGTGGTGGTGTCTACTTTGGGGCAACACTCTGTGGTGACATTACTCTAAGATGCATTTTGAGTATTCTTAGGATAATCATTTAATCCTGGATATCTACTTTCTCATCTTATTTTAACATGTCACATAGCAATGTCCTAAGGGTGAAATAAAGTTGATTCATTCCTGTGTATTCATACAGTTATGTTCCTACAAATTTATGGGCAAAGACATGAGGGTTTCTGACCTCAAGGAACATGCAATCCGAAGTATGTAACATTTGTGAACCCTAAGGCCTGCAAATGCATTAGGGTGCTATTATTTTCCATAGTGCTATACTTTATTCATGCTTGATTATCCGTGAGATAGACCAGTGATGGTAAACCTTTTAGAATGTTCATTTATAAATAGTCTGCCATGGCATGTGTGCCATAGGTTTGCCACCACTGTGATAGACTAAGCTTGATTACCCAACAGCAAAGGAAGGCTTCTACAAAAATGAGAGTTCAACTTTGATGTACTTTACCTACATGTTTTTAATCAGAAGATTTGGAAAGATGTTATTTGTTTTTTTTGATTAGAGTTGTCTTTATTTTATGTTTTGTATGATGGCAAGGGAGTAACATAATCCTTCTGTTTTATTTTCAGTGGTACTGGATTTGAGAGCAATTTTTGCTATGCCTTGATGTGGTTTTCTTGTTTAGCTTGTCTGACATTCTTTGACTTTTATGAATCTGTGGGCTTATAATTTATATTAAATTTGCAAAAGTTGCTGTACTGTTTCTTTGAATATTTTTCTTCTCATTCTGTTGGAATTTCAGGCACCTTTATATTAGATTGCTTCATATTGTCCCATAAGTCAGTGGGGCTCTTTTTTTTCTAGTTGTTTTACTTTCTGGGTTCAATATGAGTAGTTTCTGTCCCTGTCTCATATTCACGTGTACTCATCCACGTTAATTGTGTCTAGTGAATTTTAAATTCAGAAATATGCAGTATTTTTTCAGTTGGTGAAGACATCGTAGAATTAAATGGAATCTTCCGTTTCTTATTTTCTGTTTCTATCTTCATCATGTTTATGTTTTTCTCTACATTACTAAGTGTATGGAGTGTGTTCATAATAGTTTAAAAATTGTTGAGTGCTAATTCTGCCACCTATGTCTACTGCTGCTTGTTTCCAAGATCATTGCATGTATTGTATTATTTATTGATTGGATTTTGTTTTTTCTTTGAAGAGTGTTGACACTTGTTTGTTGTGAAGCTAAGTAATTTTTGGATTCAGCTGGTCCTTTCTAGTACTGTTAAGCTTTGGCCCTTTTCTGGAGTCTCTGTTGATTACCCTGAAGCTCTAGTCTGGATGGATGGAATTTAAATGTCTCCCAGTCCTGTGTGAATTCTGGGAATTGTTCACTTTGTGGCTCAGACTCAAAGGGTTCCCTGTGCAGATTCCTGGAGCTCTTTAGCTATACAGTTTCCTTCCAGTTTCTAGCTTTTTGTAGACAATGCTGAGATTCTATCTCACCCCACGAAGAATGGCTATTGTCAAGAAGTCAACCAATAACAAATGTTACCAGGGCCATGGGGAAAAGTGAACCCTTCTGCACTGTTGATCAGAGTGTAGACTGGTGCAACCATTGTGAAAATCAGTGTGGAGATTCTTAAAAAAACTAGGACCAGAGGCCCCATTTGACACAGCTATTCCCCTTCTGAATAAATTTTAGACATCTACAGTTAATGGATAGACCTTGAGACCATCATGTGAAATAAATTTGATACATTTGTAAATATTGCATTGTCTTTCTGCTGTGAGAAACTGAAAGTGTAAATAAGAACCAAAATGTATAATAGATACTGTGAAATAGGAAGAGACTGTTCAAAAGGAAAGGGAAAGGGAGGGGGATTAAGGGCAAGGAAAAAATGAGAGAAGGATAAAAATGTAAACAAAGCTTTGTAAATAAGGAGGGGAAAAGGCGTTAAAGAGAAGGGAGCAGAATAGGAAAAAATAGAGGAATGAAGGTCTATCACGCACAGGTACGAGTTTCCTATGATGAATGGGCTCATTATGTATATCTAAATTATACCAGTAATCTTAATTTAAAAAATAAATTACAGGCTTGTCTTGTTAATTTTCAAGAAAATGTCTGCCATATACTCAAGTTTCAGTAAGCCTCGTTTGCTTACTAACCTTCTTTCCATCCCAAAGATATTCTATGAAAAAGCATCTGGTTCAGCTTGTAACTCTTAACAGTTGTATGATTCTTTCCCGACACAACCTTCATTCTTCGATATGTGGAAGAAACCTTTTGTGCATGCTTACTTTTTCATCATACAGTATTAAAGGATGTGCATAATGATTGAAGTTTAATTAGTTTAATACAACATACTGCTTCATCAAGGACATTCTTAGTATGTGGTGGAGAGTAGAGTGATTTACCACTCTAGTACTTTTTTTTTTTGTTGTTGTTGTTTTTTCCGGTACTGGGCATTGAACTCATGACCTTGCGCTTGCCAGGCAGGCGCTGTGCCGCTGACTAAATCCCCAGCCCCTCTAGTACGTTTTGGTGCCACTGCTGTGGTTTATGCTAAGGCACTAACAGTTTTTCCATAGTTGGTTTTGTGCTATAAGTACAAATGTACAATATGGTTAAAAAAATTTAAAAAACCAACTAACATCTTGAAAGTATTATGAAAATAGCTCTAATTGATGGACCTACTAAAAGGACCCTGGGGACCATCCCCTGAGAAGCAGTCACGTGTGAAAGGAGTTTGACCGCTGAAGAGCATGAGGTAGAGAACAGGAGAAACTATCTGCAGAAAGCAAACCCAGGGCATCCACGTGAAAATAATTCAGTAAGAGCTTATTAGGAGAGCAGGTTTTTAAAGTTAATGAAAGCTTTGATTTAATATAAATGGATACTGTAAAGAATGTTTTTAATTTAAGAAATTTATTTAAAAAATGAAGAAAATTTCATTGTTTCCAAATAATTTGTTGGTATATTTTTCCTCTTCACATGAAGTTCCAGGTGTACATAATAATTGCCAAGAAGTCAAATCATATCCAATTATAACTTAAAGGAGTTTCTTTTGGACAAGTTATGTAAAATTGTTCTATAAAACTTCTCAAAAATTTTACAGCAAAAATTAGTATTTAAAGTGGCATTTTTTTCCAGTGTCTTTTTTTGGAGGGAGGTGGGATTGTGACAGGGACTCATTAAGTAACTTAGGCTATTTTTGAACTCACTGTGTAGCCCAGGCTGGCCTTGAACTTAAGGTGATCCTCCTGCCTCAGCCTCCTGAGTGCTGAGATTACAGGTGTGCACCACCATGCGCCCTCCAGTGTCTCTTTTAATTGACACAAAAAAATTATATATATTTATTGGGTACCATGTGATGTTTTGATATATGTATATATTATGTAATGTTCTAATCAGGGTAAGTATATCAGTCTCCTTGCATATTTATCACTGTTTCGTGATGAAAACGTTTAAATTTTTTTCTTGCTTTTTTGAAATATATACTGTATCATTATTAGCTGTAGTCATCATGCTGAGGCACAGAATACCAGAGCTTACGCCTGCTGTCTAACTTCATAATACCTGTGGACCAGCCTTTCCTCAGTCTCCTTCTACCTACTAGTCCAGCATATGGTAGCCATTATTTTATTCTCAGCTTCTATGAAATTGCCTTTTTTAGAATCTACATGAGTGAGCCCATACATTTTCTTTCTGTGCTTAGTTATTGCATTAAACCTGACACACTCCATTTTCATACATGTTATTGCAAATGACAAGATTTCATCCTTTTAAATGCCTGAATAGCATCCCATTGTACATATGTGCATGTTTTATCTGTTCATCCATTGGTGGACACTTAGGTTGATTTTATTGCTTTTCATCTCAGGACTAGAGTCCCAGGGCAGAAAGACTTCAGTTATTATAGTCAGGCAGGATGTTTGTTAAACTGTGCCACAACAAGATGATGCTAATGATAGTCATGGTGATAAAGATAAAAATAGCTGAGTTTACTGTACAGTTGAATATGATATGTGTGGTGACACTTCTACATGTGCTATCTCCTTTAATCCTAACAGTAATCCTGTGAAGCAGGAAGTATTGTTACCCTGACTTTATGTAGTAAGGCTTAGTGAAGTTAAATACTTTTTCAGATTGTAAGACTAGTAAGTGGTAGAGTAGGTATTTGAGCATAAGCATTGTGACTTCATAGCTTCTGCCTTTAACCATTACACTATCAAAAATGTGTTTTGCAGCCTAATGGCATTTGTAGTCAAATTACATACAGCAATATTTAGCTGAAAATTTTGGTTATTTTGTTGAGGGAAACATTGTGTATGTGGTAATGAGGAGAGAATCACAGGCCCCATACATTCTAGGCAAGCACTAAACCACTGTTCAGTGTGTATAATGTGTGTATATAATATTTTGTATTTTTTTACATTGTATTTTGTGTTTGTATGGATGTGTATATATACAAATATACACCTACCCACATACGTATATTTATATTCATATATATTTATATTCATATATACAGTGTTCTTTATTGAAAATTTGTCTTCTAAGAATCATCACGTTTTTAGATTTGATTCTTTTTGTTCTCACTTTAGTCTACATCCAAGCAGGAAACACATTTTTTCACATTATGACGGTTATACTACTCTTCAAAGTTAATGGTGAATAAAGAATCACATCGGAGTAAAAAAGTATGTCATCTTGGATGTTTGCTGCCCTCATCAGTAGTTCACTTTCATATTTGCAAAATTAATCATTTACTTGAGAGAATCATTGTGAGTCTGAGAGCTTTGGAGGTAATATTCTAGTTTTAGACATAAAGAAAACATTTTTAATTAAAAGTTGGCTATATATAGAAATTATAAAAATAGAAAATTATGATCACCTGTGACTTTGTTTTAGGAAAAGGGGTAATAGTTGGCTTTTATGTTACAAGTTTCTTAATGACTTGATTGGTATGCTGGTAC